CATTTTGTAAAGGCGAATGGCTGGCTGCGTGCACTTAAGCAAACCAAAGCCGCATCGCCTTGCTAATTCCATTTTGAACTTTAAAGCCCAATACCTTGCCTTTATGACTACCTTATGTCTAACGGTCGCTTGAGTATTCGTCCTGAACTCATAGGTGTGGGCTAAGTAAGACTTAATATGCCCTTTTCCTTCTTGAATATGGGTGCTCAGTCCAGATTAACACTTACTTCTACCTTGAAAAAGGTGTCGAAGCGCTACATTAGGATTCTTTGCTCTTCTTTAGCAAGCTTTATATGGGTTTGGTACTTTTTAGAAAGCCTTTTCGGATATTAGTAGCGCAACAGGATGGGTAAAAATAATTCTGTAAAGTAGCAGTACTGTTCAAGCATATGTTAAGCCAGAGAGTTGCAACTGCAACTGCAACCGAAAATGCATGTAAGAAAAGTCTGGCATTGCATCTATATTGCGACAAATCTTCGATTATTAACAATTCATAATTAGAACTCATCAAACGCAAAAGGTTTCAAAATTTTATTTCTGGTCGAATTTGCAAATAAAGTCTGCAATGCTCCAACACTAATCATCGGGTAGGGAAAGGTATTAAGTAAGACTAAGTCGTACATTTGAGCAGAAGGAGGAAGAGATAGGAATTTGGCCTGACTCGAAGTCTAAACCACGCCAAAAGTATCAAGATATAGTACTTTGTTTATGTGACCACTCGGTGTCTGGCGGTTACTTCAAGGCTTGTTTGGCCCGTGTAAGCGTGAGCTGGCTTTCGGATCACGGTCAGGTCTAGTCACTTTGTTCTCCCTGGAGTGCAAGTAGCTGGCTCCAAATTATGTCATCTTCTACCCGGTGAAAGTTCTCAGGACGCTGCACTCGTGGTAATAGAATTATGTGTCTCTTGTTGCATGTACTAGTGAGGTTGAGGAGACGCATTTACGTCTGAAGCGGAAGAATCTCTGGCCCCTTCGAAACGTAAAGTTGAGAGTGTTGTCCGCGCTTGGCCTCACCTTGCCTCTATTACTAATTAAAGCAACACGACCGTGAACCGCCAAGAAAAGTTTTGTGTCGGAATTTCCCCTGTTAAATCCTTGTATGGGTGTCAGAAATGACACTACGGTTCTCCTTATGCATGAGACTGGAAGAAATTAATGGTTAACGGATGTGTGCAATCTTGATTCTGGCTGTCAGATCGAACGTAACTCCAGGTCCAGTTGAAGCTGTCGAGGGGACCAAGTAAGGTTGACTGGCCTGGCTGACTCGTGGGTCCCTTCTTGCAGTATCGAATGTGTTGCGATGGTAGGCGCGGGAGGTGTGCCAAGGGAGCATCGTAGACGTTGCTCAATAAGAAGAGAGGCAGTTTAGTACTTTTTATGTGATCACCAGATGTCTGGCAGTTATTGTAAGATCCGTTTGACTCTTGTACCTGTGAACTGGTCTTTGGGCCAAGCTCAGGCTTAATCACTTTGTCCTCCCTGGAGTGCATGTATCTGACTCCAATTTATATCTTCTTCTACTCGGTGGGACGCTACACAAGATAAATACAAAGTAACTGCTGGTCATGCAGCTGGTCCAATAAGAGAGGCATAGTGTAATCTATGGTGCAGCTCTATCCCCGACGGTAGTATGTCTGTTTAAATTGTCACAAGTACATTACTTAAGCATCTTTATTGAACTTTGAAGTTAGAGACTGTACGGTAGCCAAAATTGGGTCCAGAGGAGCATTTTGAGCAAAGTTGTGCAATCTCCACCATTTTGTCACTAAAGGTGATAATGAAGCAAATGTAGCCTACCGTACTATGCAGAGCCGCGAGCAAGTGGAGGGCAAAGACTATAGTCGGTTTGTTCTTCCACCCCTCAAGATTTATAGAGGAGACCTTCCCTAGAAGGGTTTTACTTTGTATCTCTGGGTTACAATGAGTTGAGGTGCAGAATGGGTTGTCGAACACCAAGCTCAAGATGATTTCCCGCCTCCTTCAAACAAAGTATGATTTGAATGCTTGATGGGTTAGAGACTCCGATACGAGTTTTTCAAAGCTAGTGGAATGTGACCTTAAAAGGTTACTTTATAACTAAAAAACTTCGATATACGTATTCTACTTGCTCCTCGACATAAGCTGATCTGGATGGCAACAAATGCCCATTATTTTCTTGGCCTTGGCATTGATTAGTATAGCAGCAACGAATCTGGCTTCTGGATAAGTTTTAATGCATTGTAGGTATGAGTGCGCCCATTGGAATATTACCCGCTGCTTCCGGTTAGATGTTAGCATATGTGTTCTGCATGAATATCATACCTTATTAGTTAAAATTTGGATAGTTCTTAAATAAAAAGAGCAAATTTGCAACAGTGAGAATTCTCGTAACCGCCAGTTACCAATGCAATATGTACTAGTGTGCTTAAGCTGGTCTTTATAAGGGAGAGGCAGGGTGGGAAATCAACAGGCATCCAGTGCATGAGGATGGCATTGGCTTTCCGCCTCCTCATTTCTCTCCCACCTCTTTTCGTTCTGTGCATGATGTCCAATAAAGTTTTCTCAATTAACACTCCTGAAATCCGAGATTCAGAGGTCTGAGGGCAGGCAGGCAGGCTCTACGATCATGCATGCGATGCACGTCCTGAAAATATTAAATTAATCGAACTTTAACTAATAATACCATGACTGCAATGCTTTGCCTCCTTCTATAAGGCGTCAAGTCTTTGGAGGTACTAAAGGCATTGCTAGAGGATGGTGTAATGGTTTGTTTATGTGGCAACCTGGGTCTCGGCGGTCCCTTTTGGATTTGTGTGGCCCTTGTATTTGTGAGCTGGCATGCGGGTCATGCTCAGGCTCATATGCTCTGTCCTCTTCGGAATCCATGTATCCAACCTTACTCAATACTTTCATCTATCCTACACGATTTCTCAGGATGCTACACTAATGGCAGCGAAAAGCGAACCAGACACTTATCCAATGACTATACTAGCAGTACCGTCTGTTTCATGTACCTACGATGTGGAAGAGACGTATTGGTATTGGTGGCGGAGAATCTCTGAATCCCTCACAACGAAAGGGTCAAGAGTGACGTTGGCATTTGGCTACACCTTATTTCGTGTTCCACAGACAAGCTATTAACAACTGAAGCGACACCTCAATGAACCATTTGGAAAAGTTTCGTGTCGGAATTCCTCCTACAAAATCCATGCATAGGTACCGGAAATGACACTGCGGTTCTCCTTTTATACGGGGCAGTGGGAAATCCCGTTTTCCCTGTAACACATCTATTTAAACCAGTTTTACACCGTCTAATCCTCGAAGCAATTGACGGTCGACAAATATATGAAGCCCGAATGTAAGTTCAGATCCAGCTAAAGCAGTCAAGGAGACGAATTATGGCTCCTCAGTTTCGTGGTAGCTGTCGACTGGCGCAGTTGGCTCGTGAGGCATACTTGAAGTGTCGAATATTTCGTGGTGGCTGGCGAAGGAGGTGTACCGAGGGGAGCCCAAAGACGTTACTCAAAAGAAGAGAGGGGTGGTGTAATACATTGTTTAAGTGACTAAGATTTGGCGGTCACTTTGGGATTTGTCTGGCCCTTTTACCTGTGGGCTGGCATCCAGGTCATGCTCATGCTCATCTGCTCTGCCCTCTTTGGCATACATGTATCCAACCTCATCTGCTGCCTTGTTCAACCCTATGGGAAGTCTCGTGACGATAAGGGTGGTAGTAATCATTCAGCCTAAGTTGTTAAGCTAGCTAAAGTGATTTACATTACCTATAGAAGATTTTAACCAATTTTCCAACCTTTTAATTTTAATCAATTGTGAGTGATTTGCTGTTAATAAGTATTTTAATATCGTTTTAACAATTTTCAGACATTTAGTGCGCTGTTTAAAGTCAGAATTTGTTTTAAAGGATGCTCACTTATGAACTAACAAATCGGCGTTTGACGTTGGCACGCCTTGCACTTTTGTCCGGGAGGTCTGCTGTTGTAAGTGCAACGTTTATTAACTTGGTGAGGTGCGGGCGGTTTGGTACTTTTTTATTCTTTCTTTGAATCGGTTAGTTGAATTTGGTATCGACTTTCGTTTTCATTAGTACTGATCCATATCTGGTCGCCAGTACGGCTCTGCCTTCTTGCTGTTTTAATGCTTCGCCATTCCTTAACGTCTGAATTACTAATTTTGTTAATTGTTTTACTTGTCTGGACCTTTATCTACCTATATTGTTCGCTTTTGCTGGGCAGCTTGTCACTATCTAACTCGCTCTTGTGCTTCTGACCTATTAGGGCCCTTTTAAAATAAGCCTTATCCGTATCTCACAGGCCATGTAAGGCTATTTTATGCGCTCCAAATTGCCATTTTGATCTACGTTTATTCTGTTGCGTTAATCACTATTGTAGACATAATGGCAATGACATCGCGGTTGTATACCGCTGCCTATAGTTCAAGTGATGATGAATCAAGTGACGAAGTTTCGGGAAAGGTCCCCGTGAAGCGCTTCATGCGCCCTGTCCAAAGCGACAGCGAAGATGAGAAACGTGTTGTGCGTAGCGCTAAGGACAAGCGTCACGAAGAAATACAAAGTATCTTGAGGAACCTCAACAACCATAAGAAAATCAAAGATATGTCCAAGGTTGAGACCGACTTTGATGAGCTAGTAAAAGTATATGAAAAAGCTCATAAGATGAACGAAGTTGATATCTATCCGAAGTTTTACATCCGAGTTCTCGCTCAAATGGAAGACTTCGTAAACGAATCGTGGAGTCAAAAAAAGACACTTAGCAAAATTGGGGCCAAGTCGCTCACTGTCCTTAAACAAAAAATCCGGAAATACAACAAAGACTTTGAGGAACAAATTAAAAAATATCGCGAAAATCCTGAGTTGTATGAGGAAGAGGTTGAGGAAGAAATTGAAGAAGGAGAGGAATCGGCGGCGGAAGAGGAAGCTGGTGCCAAACCTGGGGTGCGTTACGGATAGTTATTTTATCCTTCATCCTTGATCAACAAGTGCAGCCATATTTTCCTTCCTTTAGGCAGCACCCATATCTAAGGGCTCAGATGAGTTCTCCGATGAAGATGACGATGATTATTTTCGAACCTCTGATGAATCGGAATCAAGTGATAGTGGTCCCGATATTGACATGGAACACCCTTACAATTACTTTCTCAAAGTTGAAGGAAAGCCTAAGAAGGTCAGTTGTGTTTCATTTGTTCATTACGCCTTGGCTAATAAGTGCGTATACACTGTACTCATTAAAACGTTTAAAATCCAAGGAGGAGACGAAGAAAAAGGCCCCCAAGCCGAAACCTGTTAAACAAGTAACAAAGCTCAGCAGCGAGGAGAGTGGTGATGAATGGCGTGTTGTTGCTCCAGGTGATGGTTCTGCGCTTGAGCCAATGGTGCAAGCCTTTGAAAAGGGTGTGGAAGTAACTCAGGAGCTGGTGTTTAAAAAAATCACTGAAATTATTGCCAATCGTGGCAAGCGTACCTCCAGCATTGCCGAACAGATTTGCCTTCTTGATCAAGTTTGTCAGAAAACTGGTTCGTATGCCTTTTATGAGTTTGTTGACTGGCTCTCGCATCTGTGTATTACGATTTTCTTATTTAAATTTCTTTCAGAAGAATTGCGTTTTGGTGTTGGGATCAACGTGAAAGCTATATTGTCCTTAATCACAGTACTCTTCGACTATGAGTCTAGGCATCCTGCGTTCATGCCAGTTGCGAAGTTCCAAAGGTTTTTTGAGTTCTAAATTTTAGTATTTATGCTATGAATTATTATTGTTCGCTTTTTTCACTATAGAGCCATTGAGCAGCTCAAAAAACTTTTTGAGATTCTGAAAAACAATCCTAAAGATTTGGAGGTATCAGAGTCTATCACAGAGGAGACTGAATCCGTTTTGGTGAGTGTTTCATCTAGATTCTGAGTTTTCAGACAATTAGCAGTGTGTGAATGATTTTTCTGTCCTCAATTAAGACAGTCCTGATGAATTCCCAGTGTGGGAAATTCCGCTTCGTGTTAAATAGTGAATGACAGTTGCACTAGTTTTCTATCCTCCTCCTATTGTTAACGCTTCATTGTTTCAGGTATTAATAGTGTATTTTGCTCCGTGCAGTAGCAGGTTTAAGCAGCTTGTGTCGCTGTTTTCCGTACGGCTTTAGGAACGTCCGTATCGGATCCGTGGCTCAATTTTGGGTTGTGTCAGTCGACTCGATGATGAGTACTTTAAGATTCTGCAGAATGCCAATGGTCATGAAATGGAGTACGACGAAAGGTAGGCCATATTCCTTGTAATGTTAATCCAAATTGGTCTAGTAATCGCCCTTGCATGTTTGTAGTTTCAAGTGTTTCATTTCGTTAGTAAATGATTTCGTAGGCTCTAGAAGTGCGTTAAAGTTCTTTTTACTTTTCGTGTTTCTAGGCTGCGAGATGAGCCAAGAGTTTGCGAATTAATCGACTTGCTAATCGAGTACCTCGAACGGACTAAGGCCCCTTCTGAGGCTTTGTGTGTGGCCTACCTACGCAAAGTTGAGCATTTGTACTATAAAGTGAGCAAAAGTAGCACCTTCTCAACGCCTTTATTTCTATCCTAAGCTCTATACCTAGTGTTTCAATTTACTCAAGTCCTGGTAGTTGCTTTTTTGGGTCATTTATTACATTAAATTACATGACACGCTTTATTCATCTCTTCTAGTTCGATTTTGAGTGGGGAAAGAAAGTGGAGTCTGAGGGGTTCGAGGCCGCGGGATTGAATCCGTACTACGCAGTGGTGGAAAGACTCTGTCACTACATCTACAAGAATGATAAAACCGATCGTCTTCGCACGCGTGCAATCCTCTGCCATATCTATTTCCTCGCTTTATTCGATCATTGGTATAATGCACGTGATCTTATGCTTATGTCCAACCTCCAGGCCACCATTGATCATGCTGACCACTCCACTATGGTACGCTTCTCTTTACACATTTTCGAAGGGAACCAAGGAGTGCTGTAACTGAGGTGAACTCATGCTCATTGTAGATCCTATACAATCGAGCCATGGTACAAATGGGTCTGTGTGCATTCCGCCAAGGTCACATCAAGGATGCGCACTCCGCCCTCTCTGATTTGACCGGTTCCAGCAAAATTCGTGAGCTACTTGCTCAGGGTCAGCGCTATGAGCGCACTCCGGAAGAAGAGAAGCGTGAAAAGGCTCTCCAAATGCCCTATCATATGCACATTAACACGGAACTCATTGAGACTGTTTTCCTTATCTGTGCTATGCTGCAAGAGGTCCCTATTCTTGCCGGTGAGTTTATTGTTTGTGAATCAAAGGCTGGAGGACTTGGGACGTAATTTAGCAGTGTTTTGTTCGCCTTTCAGCTTCTCAGGACGACACACGAGCGCGCGTCTTCAGCAAGGCCTTTTCGACCGTCTTGAGGATTCACGACAGAGCTACTTTGATTGGTCCGCCAGAGTCTCCAAGGGATCACGTAATCGCTGCTTCTAAAGCCATGCGGTTTGGCAACTGGCGCGGTGCTACCAAGTACATTTTCAGCCCTAAAATGGATGCCAAGGTATATTTCACTTTATTCCGCTCACGGCGTTTCTTATGACATTGTTTTCTTCAGATTTGGGTGTTGTTCTATGACCCTAAAAGTGTGAGGAAGATGCTGGAGGCGAAGATTAAGGAAGAGTGTTTGAGGTGTTACCTGTTTGCCTACTCCTCGGTCCATGAGTCAGTTAGCCTCTCTAGGCTGGCTGAACACTTCGAGTTCCCCAGATCTCAAATCTACTCTATCATTAGCAAAATGATAATCAATCAGGAACTTGCCGTAGGTTTATCCTTCCATCTCATTCTTGTTAGGTATGACATCATTCCTACTTGATGCAATTCTAAGTGAATATTATAACTGGTCTAGCATTAGTGTCACCCAATACCCTGGTTTCATGGGCATTATGTCTGAAGTAATCAACTGCTTGGTTCTCTTTGTCAAGGCCTCATTAGAAGTTCCTGCGGACTTTCTCACGATGCATAAGGGTGAGCGATCCCGACTACAAAACCTGGCTATTCAACTGGCGGACAAGGTGAACAGCATTGTGGAGATGAATGAGAAGCTGATTGATAATCGCGGCGGCATGATTTCTGGGCCTAAAGGCAATTACTTTATCTTTTCCACCTTACTTTTATCTTCCCACTTTATAATGCTTTTTTTCTATTGTAGGAGTATCAGCCTATCAAGGGCGTAAGTATTACATGCACTTTTCTATATAAAGTGGGCAGTGGCTTATGTGCTGATAGATTTTTTTGCTTTTTCGCTGAACTTTTTAAAAATTTTTCTGCGTTTGTAATCTGCATAGGTCGCCATTTCTAAGGTAAGTTAGTGGACTAATCGCACAAGAACTTGATCTCACAAGTTTTTTCGCAGTAGGTTTACCCCATGCATTTTAAGCATGCCTGAGTTTCCCTGAAACATCTTAGCCTAATCAAGCAGCTTTCAGCATTGTTGAGAGAACCTCAAGATTGATGTACACCCCTTATTCTCGATTAAACTGCTGGGTCGTGCTCATGGTTTTACTATTTTGCGCTTTTTAATGATGGCCTCTGTTAGTAGGCGTGCCAGATGTCGCACTTTGCCGACACGGAGTTCATTACTTACT